TTGCACATGCATGGAGGTCATTTTTAATACTTGCTTCTCTCCTCCTGAGTTTGTATGGATAAATTGAATTTTACTCTATCCCAAAAGGGATGAAATAATTTAGGAAAGGATTAAATTTATCCCTCTATTTTAAAAATAGGATCGAGTTTACCTTATGTAAGAAATGTAATAGGGAAAAGGTCCAAATATATCATCTACTTTGGTATATTATTTACATGTACCCTTCGTTATACTATAGGGTCACATCCACCCTCAACGTTACCCAACTTTATAAAAATACCCTTCATTAAATGGAAAGCTATCAGATATTAGGGATGACCCATTTTTTAAATAAAACTATTTTTATAAAGTTGGGTAACGGTGAAGGTGAATGTGCCCTATAGTATAATAAAGGATACATGTGAACAATATTCTAAAATAGAGAGGTATATTTGGACCTTTTCCCAATGTAATATTAGGAAAAGAAAAGAACACTTAGCGAAGTTTTAGGGAGAAAGGTAGAGATGGTGAAAATGGTGGTGGTCACGGTAGTGTTGATGGCGGCACTAGTGGTGAAGGGGTAAGAGGTATCAGTGGTGGAAGAAGAAGTGAAAGGGAGGGGTAAAATGGGTTGGGACAGTGAGGTGGCATGCCACGTGGTCAAAATATGAGTGTAGGGATGATAATTTAAGTCCAAACCCATTCAACCTCTCAACTTGCCCAAAGTTGGGCCGCTCATTAATCCGCTATTGTTGAACTCNCCCCTACATTTAAAAACCCTATGTTAGTAATACGAGGGATTGGCCGTCCACCTTGGACAACCTTAACAACAAAAAAGGTATATTTGATCCAATTATATAATAGCGAGAGTATCTTTAGACATAATATAATGGAAGATAAACTTGATTATTTTCTCGTTGTAAAGACAAATTTGACCCTTTCCCTAATAATATACACATATCAATTATGTAAGTTGAAATAATAAAACAGATAATTAGTATTTGTTTCAGTTTTATTTTACGTGATCGATACGATTTAATTAGACATGGAGTTCAGAACTAATAGTTTGAATGTATTATTACAAACTATTAGTAGTGGTGAAGAAATTAAAATATAAGAGTAATAGTGGAAATTAAGGTCAGTTTGAAAGAATAAATATCACAACATTTCTTTTGTTTTACAAATATGTAAATTAAAGTTGAATGTATAGTATTGATAAATTGGTAACAATAATTCTAAAATGTTTAAAGATATAGAAAAAGATCATGTAAATTGAAAGGGAAGTTTGACTGACAATATAGATACAACACAACCTTAATTTTTTCCGAGGTAAGAGGATTCAAAATTTTTATTATATAGAAGAGAAAAGAGGAGGTCGACCAAGGGCATCATGGTCATTCCAAAAATATAACTACATTGTATAACAGGCTCAAAAGTTTGATTGTGGGTTTCTATTGACGGAAAAAATAGCCAATATTAATTGTTTATCTTTTCTAGTCGTATATATAGATTATACATAATTTTACACATGTAATATATAAATTATACATATATTACATACTCATTGGCTATTTTTAGTTTAAGTGATAGGGTGGACGATTATTTGAGTTAATTCTTCAACAATGTAAAAGTAACGTTGCCCAAACTATTTTTCAATGGACCCCACTTCCCATTCAACTTGGACTATCTTCTTTAAATGCACTACTTAATTAATATTACTCTTCAATTTGTTTGAAAGGAGACTACTTCATACCTTCACCGTCTAATTTGTTTTTTCCATTTAGTACTTTTAACTAAAAATATTATCTGTTGGGTAATTTTATAATTCAACATTTATTTGATTAAAAACATACAATGGTTACATACATTTATATATAACAATTCTAATGTCTCCTTAAGAAATATTATTTCATTTGTTTTATTTATTGACTATTTTAGGTAAAGAGCATTTTTTTAATTAAAAAAATGGCAATAAATAATGTAAATATTTATTAAGGTGTTCTTATATTAGTATCAATTGATATAATTTTATACAAGTTCTCATTAAATTGAAATTTTAATTTGAATACTTTATAAAATTAGGAAAAAAATATTTAAGAATAAAATATAGTCAAGTTCCTTTTTTATTATAGAATATTGAATAATTTTCAAATTGTATAATAATGATTCCCTCTATAAAACATTATTTGAGAATAATCTAAACAAAAGATTAAGACAACTAATTTGGGGAATTGTTTTCTTTATTATGTATTAGGCATCATAAGAAGCATCATTGTGCATGATTATACTTTTTCGTCTATGATTAAATTTAGTTGGGTACTTCCTCTGTGTTCAATAAATAATTCAACATTATATAAATTTCAAAATACATAAATATAAAATTAACAATTTTTTAAAAAGCTCAACAAATAATTATGGTAAAGAAAGTTGTATTACACCCTAGAGTATCTCAGTCATATCAAATGAAACTAGAAAAATACTGCAATGCTTCAATTTAAGGTCATTTTGATTAGTATTTAGAGTGATTGAAAAAATAAATTTATTTTTAATAAATTATTCAGATATGTCATTAAACTAGAATAACATACAAATTTTCTGGTAAAAAAATCCGAATAATTAAAAATTACAATTAATTTTTCAAAGAACAAAAAAAAAATCTTTTTCGTCAACTATTTGGAAATAAAATGAATATGTTTTATTATTCAAATTTTTATTAATATAAAAAGAAAAAATAATACATTAACACAATTGAAAATACTAAGAGAGTAAAACTATATATATTCAATTTAAACAATGAGAAAATAAATCGTGACTTATTTTTCAATTGAATTTTCAATCAATTTTTTATAATCAATTTTAAGTTTGGTGGTGCAAAATTATTTTTTAAAAATAAAAATATGTAGAACCTTTGTAGAAATACTCTACATTGCACTTGAAGTATTGTATAATCTTTGTAAAATAAAGTGTCAGACTTCAACAAGTATTACAAAGGGATTGGTATAGTAATACGATTTCAAAAAAATTAAAATACACACAACGCAAAAGATTTTAAAAAATAATACAGGTAATGTGGTTCTATACATTATTATACAAATACCTATATTTTTTTCTTTATCTGAAGACGAATAAAGTGTGTAATTAGCAATACACCAAAAAATATTAAAAGGAAGAAAATAAGAAAAAAAAGCAACAATTGGGCCTGTGCATCGCACAGGTACATCATCTAGTATTAAATAACAAGATGCGAAGAAGCTAAAAATTTCAACATCTCCTATGAAAAAAAATTTATAACCGTACGTATATATTGCATTTTTCTGACGAAATGAGTTGAAATTACATCCCTAATTCCACCCTTGAGTAGGAGTCAAACATGTGACCTAGAAATTAGAATCTCCGGAATGACAAATAAATATTATTTTCTCCGGTCTACTTTAAATGAATTTTTGACTGTTTTCACACATATTAAGGAATTCATCTTTTAACATTAATTAATAATAAAATTGACAATATTAACATTAATTTGTTTATTGAAAATATAACAAACCCTCCTAGACTCTTTACTTCTAGGACAACTTTGGAAAAAAAAAGGTTAATTCCTTCTTGATATTTTAAAAAATCAAATATTGTGGATTACAAAAAAAAAAAAAAAATTCAAAAAACCAATTAAAGTGGTCCGGGGGAATATTAAGTATTTGTCCAAAATGTAAATAAGTACTACTACATGAGAGAACATGCACAAGTTACAAACTCCATTAATTAAACTCATATAAGTGATGATAGTTGATAACTTTAATAATTATTCCCACTTTTACGTAAACTACAAGGGATCACAACTCGTTATTTGATAAAATACATTAATATTAATTATCCTCGCATTAAGTAAAACTAATCTTTTCGTTTTAATAACGACCTTCAAGCAATTCAAGTCTAAAAATTTGCACTTGCTTAAGAAGTGAGTTAACTACTTAACTTCACTAAACAACTCAATCCATATCACTTGTATTAAAGACAATCTCAACACAAATTAACTCGCAATCATTTACGTATACTTATACTCTCTCCGGTTCACACCGTTTTACCTTTGGCATACCCATTAAAGAAATACGAATTCCTAGAGAAAAAAAAATATATTCATTAAATAATTAACCTTAATTAATTGTTACCTTGACACATTGGAATATGTAAATAAGGGCAAATTTTGAAAAAATAAAATTAATTCCTTCTTGATTATGTAAATAAATACTTATTTTGGACCAAAATAAAAAGGTAAAATGGTTACTTATTATGGACCAGAGGGAGTATCACATTCAAAATTAATTACGATCAATGTGAAAACGTAAATTCTCAACATCCAACATACTTAATCAATAGAAACAAGATCAGTTGTGTAATCACAAAGCAACTCTAGAATATCCAATACATAACTGTTTCAATATATATAACTTACAAATTAACAAAAAGACACATATTGTACAAGTTTGGAGCTCACCAGGATAGCTAACATATACCAATTCAAATAAATACATAAAAGAATAATAAATATAGAAGTACTGTCTAATTAATACTAAAAATTTGTCAAATCTAGAAGTAACAAATAATTTTAATTTCTCTAAAACGAGTTTATGTTCTTTGTATCATGTGAATATTTTTTAGACTATCAAGTTAAGTTGACATACAACAAAATATAATTTTAATATCAAGATTGATATAGTAACCTGAAAAATAGAGTGATAACTAGTAAAAATAAAGTAACAACTTGTTAAAAGTTATAACCTACAAAATTATATTAATGATGTAAAAAAACAATTATGCCCTCACTGTATAACATAAATAAAGAAATAATTGACTAGTTCTTTTTTTAATTGCATAGTTATTATCGTAAAACAAAATTGAGAAAAGCCAATAAATTCTCTATGAATAAATTATAACAACTGATTCCACCACATTACGACGTCGTTATGTACACCCTGCATTACTATTTGTATTCTCTGATTTGAAATCAGTTAAGAGTTGCACTAGAACTTTGAGCTATACTCATAGAGTCAGCATATGAATGCGGCCGAAACCGAATCGTAGGTGGGTAATTTACCCACCTACGCAGCTTAATTATGCGTTAACACTAATTCTTCAAATACCCTATTCGATTCTTTGGTTATAGAACAACTCTGAAGAGTTTACAGTGCAGTTTTGATTATTTCTTGAGTTTATCAATGGCTGGCGTTTTAATAGGTCTAAGGCGTGTATATCTCATAATTTACAATTGGATTGTCTTTTTTGGATGGTAATTTGAATACCCTTTTGGAATTCTTGTTGGATTTCCACATTTTTTCGTTTTTTTTTTTTTGGGTGATGAATTTTGGGTTATTGATGTTCAGGTTTCAAGTGTTTTATTTTGGTGTGAAAACTCTGAAAGAATCTGGGCATGAACATGTCTATGATGCTGTTGAGAAGCCTCTGCTTTTTGCTCTAACTGCTGCCTTTTTGGAGGTAAGTTTGAGGCTACGTTTCTATTGTGATTATAGCACTAAGTAAGGTTGCTATTTATGTGGAATTGTAATGCAGGGATTGTCTGTGCGGGGACTAATAATGAAATGTATGTTATTCTTATTCCGGCATTTTATCCCCCGTAAAATAATACATAGATTAATGCATAACTTAGTTCACGTATTATTCAGTACCGCCAATCAAACACCGTGGGGCAATTATGTTTTCTTATGCGGCCAACCAAACACTGTGTTATCTTATGTGGGATTTTATGCTGGGATTGATTGTATTGAAACAGCCTCTTGCATTTCTGCAAGAGGCAAGGTTGCTTACATAAGACCCAATGTGGTCCGGCCTTTTACCGGGATGCCCTATTAATTGTTCCAATACAATCAACGCAACAAACCTTAAGAGGTATGATAATTATGGATGCAGGATAGAATGCTATGTTAGAATTAGAGGATGGCAATAGAAGATCCGTCTTATTGATTCAATTGACTAAATTTTAGAACAAGTTTTTGGAGTACAGCCTATTGTCCTGCTGAGTTAAAAAGTCACTAGTAATCCCAAATAAAAATTAAGTTATCTACATTTCAGAAGCCCTTTATAATATAAAGATAATCCTTTATTAAAAGAGAATGATGCCAAAATTCCAGGAACCAGCTAATTAGTCTTGAGAATTTTCGTGGTTCGATAAGGGAAGGAAGCTTCAAAGAAGAAGAGCCAGAATGTTATGGAGAAAATAGATAGAGAAAAGAACTAGTGTATTCTGTAACTGATTGGTTGTAAATGGGTTCATTTTCAAATACGAGTATTTATAAGCTCAGTTATCATGTAACTTCTCAAACTAACTTGGTAAACACTCTTTAGTTCACTAGCATTAGATAACTGCCTCTAATAGACCTTATGTCTGCTGCAGTCCTGCATTTCCATACATCTCGGCTAACTGCATTCTTCATTTTATTTTGCTGCATCAGAATTGAACTCATACCTCGAGATTTTGGCTCCTCAGCCTTAACCAGGCCAAAGACACTGGGAATCACATCCTTTGTGACCATAATTTCAAATAAAATATTTTTGTCAATTGGAGCTAGTATTGGTGTTTGGGAAAATCCATAACCAAGAGTCACTTGTGTATATTTGACACATAGTTGGGGTGGTAGTTCCATCATGTTCTCTTACAAGGATTTATTTTTTGGGGTAATGGAATTTGACGTGAATAAGTGTTGCAGGAAACAGTGAAATGTTTTCTGGACGATGATGATGATCTTGTTGTTGTTACTGTTGTATTATAATTATTGTTTATCACGAGATGCAAATGTTGAAAGAAGCCTAACATTTGATTGTGTTTCCCATATAAATTGCGGGCAGATACTTCATAGTCTAGTAGGTATGTTTACTTAATCTGAAGCCTTTTTTGTATTCTGTGTTTACGTAAAAGATTTTCTAATAAAATAACCCCTTTATCTTTTCCCTCATGGTCAAACAGGTTTGGTAAGATCTCCAATATCGGCAACTCTGCCACAGATAAGTTCAAGATTATATGTAACCTGGGGAATTTTGTGGAGTTTCCCCGAGGTTAGTATATTCCTTGGCTATTACTATGGCATTATGGAGCTTCTTTACTAATGACTGGCTTGCGGATTACAGATCCGGACTCATCTACTTGTTAGTTCTCTAGCGATTAGCTGGTCCATAACAGAGGTGAGCCTTGCTTATCCATACGCCATCAAATTGTGTCCATGTTTGAGATATCTCTTTGTAGTAACTTGAGATTTCAAGTTCTCAGACAAATAGTTCATGCAATAGCTTAAAAATCAATTCACCATTGGAAGAAGAAAACAAAATTAAATATCAGTTCTCTTACCTAGTATGTATGTTACAAGACTTTATTTCCTTTATTTGGGGGAGAAAAAGAATATTGGGCGACAGAAGGCTGATGGCAGTGCCAAGTGACAGTCGTTTCAATGTAGAACCTTTTTGTTCCATTTGCAGTTAAAGGTCAAAGAATCTTGCTCAAAATAGCAGAAAAGTATGTTCAAACTTTTATTTAGAGAATACATTTTTGAACAATCTCTTTACTCTCAACACAACACCTGTCTGTTCACTCTCTTCACAACCAAACATTCATGATGCAAATTATCTCACTTAAGGAAGAGTCTTACTCCATACTGTAAGCTTAGAATCCCATAGGGTTGACTTAAGCGTCATTATTACTTTATAATTTGTTAGAGCAATAAGAACAAATTTATGCTATTGTTTGATCACGTCGTAAAGTGATATTGTATCATTATTCTCCTCGTGCATCCCTTTCATTCCACTAACTTGTCTCCCCAACTGAGGGACAAATATGTTACTAAACATGCCAGTTCATGACTGTTTAACTGTTAATATTCATTGTGAAAATAATGTTTTGATATTGGTGCTAGTTCATGGTCAAAATAGTATTATTTATAGTGGTGTTATCCTCATACTCAACTTCAGATTATTCGATATTCATTTTTTGGTACAAAGGAGGCATTTGGTTCTGCACCTTCCTGGCTCTTGTGGCTAAGGTATAACCATTTAACTTTTGCCAGCATAAACTAGTGTGGATGATGTGTAACACATTGGATTTTAACCCATTTTGCCACCTTTATAATAATGGACAGATACCGTTTCTAGCATGTTCGTAATAAGTCTGATTTTCTTGCTGCAGGTATAGTACCTTCTTGTTGTTGTACCCTACAGGCATCACAAGTGAAGTTGGTTTAATATATAATGCCCTGCCTTACATGAAGGTACAAAGATCCTCTTTTTCAAAAAAAAAAATCTTTTTCACTCATCAATGCGAATTAGATTAGCCATAGATAAGAGCATATATCTATCAATTTATCGAGCAAGCAATAATGAGAAAAATTTAAAGAGCTTCTTTCTATCTAATTAGTTGCTGAAGAGTTGACGAAGAGCTTTTCCTCCGTTGATATTTTCTATTTCGTCAATAAGTGACAAATGACACTTACACAAGTTTATGAAAAATGATGCTGGGTGATAGTACCAAACCACCAATTATGTTCTATGTAGAGATTTCTAATTGCAGAGCTGTAAGGGCAGCCCAGTGCACTAAGCTCCAGCTATGTACGGGGTCCGGGGAAGGGCCGGACCACAAGGGTCTATTGTACGCAGCCTTACCCTGCATTTCTGCAAGAGACTGTTTCTACGGCTCGAACCCGTGACCTCCTGGTCACATGACATCAACTTTACCAGTTACGCCAAGGCTCCCCTTCTAATTGCAGAGTTTTATTGAACTTATATTGGAATTTGAAGTTTCTATTAGAAATACATACTTGTGACATTGTTTTACTTTCTCTAAGCCTTTCCAGAACACGTAAGGGCACATTTCGAGACCATTATGTGCTAAACTGATTAACATACCAAAATTTGTATTAGTTCTGTTCTTGCAAAGATGTATAGGACTAGTTTAGGCTAATCGTGGATGAGACACTTCTTGCACGTTATCGTGATGCTTGAAGTATTAAGTAGCTATCTTAGATATTCTTTTTAAAGTAAGAAACGGGACTTTGTGATATTCAGCGCTCGTTATGGCCCAAAGGTGCTCTCTGCTGACAATGCCGTCAATCTTAACTCAAGTTTATTGGGCAGTTTTGGTTGAATATTTGTTCCTTGTCTGTGCTTTTGATTTAGTTTGCATACTTGCTACATCTTCTGATCAAACTATTTTTCTAGGAATCTGGAAAGTATGCTGTTAGGATGCCGAACAAATGGAATTTCTCTTTCGGTTACTACTATGCAGCACTTGTTTGCCTTGCCATCTATGTTCCAGGCAAGAACCTTGTCATTTTTCTTACGACATATGTCGCTTTGTCTCTTTATTCGTCGAGTTTACTATATCTTTACAAAAAAAATATTAGGTTGTTAAAAGCTGTGAATTGATAAAATGATGTTGCGAAATGCAGGATGTCCTCACCTCTACAGATACATGCTTGGGCAGAGAAAGAAAGCACTCTCTAAATCAAAAAAGGAATAGGCTTTATTATTTGTCTAAATTCAGCTTCTTGGAATTCTATTTGGGCAGAAGTGATGTAATTTTTGATGTTTTTCTGATCCATTGGAAACTTTCCACCTATTTTTTCTGTTCCATTAGACTGTTCAGAATAACTAAAAATTATCAGAAACTTCAAAAATAAAGATCTCTTGATCATTTCTCAGAGTAAAGGGCTTATAATGTAAGTACAACAACAACAACGACCTAGTGAAATCTCACTAGTGGGGTTTGGGTAGGGTAGTGTGTACGCAGACCTTACCCCTACCCCGAGGGAGTAGAGAGGTGGTTTCCGAAAGACCTTCGACTTTTATAATGTAAGTAGAAGATTGAAATGTTCTCAACAAGTACTAAATTTAGAAAACTATAGTCCAGGTTATAATATATCAGATACTTCAATTAACAAAGAGGTCAGANTATATATATATATATATATATTAAGTATAGGGCTAGGTTTATTTTGCTCCTTCTATATACTCCATTTGTTTCAATTTATGTTAACTTATTACTATTTGGGATCAAATAACGTTTTCTTTTATTATGTTTTCTGTATTTTACCCCACGGTGTTGGATAAGACTGGGTATGTTGTTGTTGTTGTTGTCTGTATTTTAAATAGTTGACTATTGTGACTTACAACAGTTATTATTTAGTTTCTAAATAGTATATAATTTTTATTTCAAGAAGTTTGACAAATTTACATCGAAAGTTAGTCAGTTTGATCCTCATTTTTCGAAAAGGTTCACATAAAATGAAACGAAAGAAATATAACTCTATCAGTAAAAGAAATTTACATAAAACAAAAACGAAACGAATGAAAAACTTATTCTATATCGGCAGTAGCTGAAGAAACCATATTAACTGAAGTTCAATCTCTCTTTTTTCCTAAGTTCTTATTTTCTATTGAGTAAGTTTTCGAGTAAGCCTTGAATGAGCCCTCGAAAGCTTGATGCAAATAAATAAATTTTTGACATCAATTTCACTGCATTTTCTTTTCAAAATTTCTGTTAGGTTGGTAAAAGACGTGAAATGACAAAATGAATCTCAATATGACAAAGTAATTATTGGTGGAAATGACACCTCGTAGCCACTTTTAAGCACGATGTTTAAAATATATCTACAATTTACAATATTTTAAAGATTAGTCAATTTCGCTCAAACTTTAAGACACAACGTCCTAGAGTTTAAACCTCAAAATTCAAACTTCAGGACATCGTGTCCTAAAGTTCGAAAATTGTATACAGAAATTCGACTCTTATGTCCTAAATTTTAAATTAGTTGTTCAGAAATTCATGACACTTAGTCCTGAATTTCAAATTAGCAGCTCAAAAATTTAGGACACTAAGTCCTGAATTTTCAAATTTAAGATACTTAATGGGCATTTAGACATGAGAATTGTAAAAGTCCAAAATAGGGGGAAAAATTTTTCAAGTAAAAATGGTATTTAAAATTTAGAATTGTGTTTGGACATGAATATAATTTTGGGTTGTTTTTTAAATTTTATGAGTGGACATGAATATAATTTTGGATTGTTTTTTAAATTTTGTGAGTGATTTGAGTGAAAATTTTGAAAAACAGCTTTTTGAAATTTTTTCAATTTTCGAAATTTTTCAAAATGTGTCTTCAACGAAAATTAGAAATTTTATGAACAAACGCTGATTTCGGAAAAAGTGATTTTTTTTTTGGAAAAAAAAAAAAATTCTTATGTCCAAACGGGCTCTTAATCCTGAAATTTGGGTGAATTGACTAATCTTTAAATACATTATACGGACTTAAAAGTTACTATTGGTGCACTTCACCCTGATTATTGCTCTGGACTTAGCTACTGTTAGAAAAAGTAGACCTTCTGCTACTAAATTAAGTTAAAGTGGAGATTGAATTTAGCAAACTCATAACCATTTTAAACATAATTGTTATAATAATTCATGGCACAAAAGATGTGACTAACTTAAATAGCCAATAATTAAGACCTTACAATATTACAATTAGTTGCCAAGTTAATCATAGATTTTAATGCTAAGTTAGATACATATTATAATACAAGAAAAAGAGACGAATTACATAGGAAAACACCAACTTTCTATGCTTTCAAGAACCATTAGCCAAACATGAATCTGAAATTCTTGGGGTTAGCCTTTTACATTCCACCATATTAGTAGTTAACAGATACAAAAAATAGTCACATCTTTGCTTTTAATTGGACTTTTGCTCTTCCCTTCAACCTGAGTAAGGCAGCCTGCCATATAAAAGAAAAAATAAAACCAGATGGAAGGTAAGAACAACTTAAAAACGACAAAAAGTTATGAATTCAAGATTCTGAATTCCTTAAAAATTATGGGGTTAATTTCTTTTTATAAGGGGGTGTTTACTACTTTTTTTAAAAATGTTTTCCACATATATTTATGGTTTATGTTGGAATATGACAGATCCAATTAAACTTCCTCTTAACACTCTAAGGACCCGTTTAGTCATTAAAAAAATTCACTTTTTTCGGATTTTTTTAATACTTTTTTTCAAAGTCAATGTTTGGCATGAAAATTTCAAAACCAACTTAAAGTAAAAAAATTCATAGTTTTCACTCCAAATCACTCACAAATTTAAAAATAACTCCAATTTATATTCATGTCCATATACAACTCCAATTTCCAAATACCAAGATTTTTTTTTAAAACCTTTTTTCCAGAATTTCACATTTTTTATGTTCAAACGCCCACTAAATCTTGCCTCCGATGAATGAATGTGTGTCGGGTTTTTGACAAAATCAATGTATAAAAAGCCTATAGTAGACGTACAACCAAAATGCAAAAAAAGACAATAAGTAACATGTTATAGTAATTGATTAATTTATACCGATAATTAATAAAATCAGCTAGCTTATTTTTTCTTTCTCCTTTCCACAATCGCATCTTCCCAATAATATTTTAAGTATAACTTTATTGTTTTAATTTACTCTGTAATTTTTTAGATAAATTTTATTAAGAAGAAAAATGATAACGAGTGAGATAAGAAAAACTAACCCCAACTTGAGAGAAGTATCAGAACTGTCATCATCTTGAGGAGGAGGACCAGTAGAGTTACATGCATTAGTAACAGATTCAGATAATTGACCTTCCTCATTTATAAACCCATTTTCTGATTCAACTGCTATTAGTAATTCTGCTGCTGCTGCTGGGTTTTGGTATCCATTATTAGATATTTCCATCACCTTCACACACATTTAATTTATTAGCAAAAATTAATATATATACTTGGTTTCATGCTACGTTGCTCGAATTTTTCAAAAAAGTAATTGAACTTATATCAGATCCTCTAAGAATGCAATACTTAAGGAGGTTCTCTTCACGCGTGGGGCAAATCACAAAATCGTTATAATTACAGGTTTGGCAGGAGGTATAGTTTCGCTCCTGGAACATAGGTTGCTCTCAGAGGTTTCTATAACGATACAAAATTACCGAAGAGTGCGAGCAACCTATCTTCCATGGGCGAAACTATCATTATAGTTACGGGTTCGGCATAACCTAGTAACTTTAAAATTTAATATGTATACATAGTCTACCTAGAACCAAGTAAACAAAATGGATTATATATGATCCAGAACCCATATAAAAAATTTGAATCCGCTTCTACTTAATTAGTTGATTGAATTAACTCCAGAATTCAGTGGATTTGGAGTGGTCTCATCAGATTTTTCAGTGGCCATTATTAGAAAAAGCACGTGCATGTTTCTGTATTTAACTTATCTTTACGTTTTTACGATAAAAACGCAAATGCAGGTGTTTGAGAAAACAAACCTGTTGCTTCAATATTTCATTCTCTTCCATTAGTTGCATGCCCTGTGGTTTTTCACAATATCAGTACCTTTGACGAAAAACAAGTGAAATAATGAAAATTAAAGAGTTTTAACTTTCTATATAAACTTATAGTACATATAATATAAATGAATTTTTACACTATTACTGTCACTTAAATAATCCAACTTTTTTAGGGACATTCTATATAGACTTATAGTACATATAATATAAACGAATTTTTACACTATTACTGTCACTTAAATAATAACTACAAAGAATGTCCCTAAAAAAGTTGGATTATAGGTTAATATACATTGACAAGTTCAACAAAAGTTGAAGTATGTAATTCAGTTCCAGACCTTTTGTTGAAGCTGGTTGATCTCTCTCATTATTTTATCACCCTGACAAATTAACAAAGCAAGTAGCACGTAAGATAACTAAAAAAAACCATGATCATCTGTATAATTCGACGGATTTAACTTATATACACAGACAGTTACGTGAATTTAGACTGACCTTTCTCTCTATGACGCGGGTCAATCCAGCTTCCAGAGACCTCTCCAACTGCTGTAACTCTTCAATACTTAATCCTTGGAGTTCTTCTCCCCTCATTTGCCTGTTAATTAGTAGAGGACACTAAATTTTTTGTGGATCAACTTTTCTTAGATGAAAATGCCGAGTATTATATAGAGAAGTCCGAATTAATACCTTAATCGATGACTTTTCTCAGATATTTCCTTGCTTAGTTTGGAGTAATTGCTGTTCTCTACTAGCTGCAAACAATACATTCACTCTTTAAGAAGAGAAGAAAGAGCAATTTGGTACACAAAGTATCCCGCATTCACACAGGTTCCGGAAAAGGCCATAGCCTAAGGGGTGTAATGTGGACAACCTACCATAATGCAAATATTAGCAGTTGCTTCTACGATTCAAACAGACAACTTTACTAATATTGCTCTAAGGCTTCCCTTCTCACTCTTTAAGAAACCATTTAATAAAATGCTTGCTAGAATATATGTTGCTCGAACTCTCCGAAAATATTGCAGGACGCGTCTGATCCTCCAAAAATAATGTATTTTTGGAGGATGCGACACGGATGCTGCATCATTTTGGAGAGTTCGTGCAACATAAGCTATAATGGACAAAGAAACTTACTTGCAGCTCAAGTGATGGTTGGTCCAATTTTTCCAAATTCTTTGAATGCAAATCACGCCTCTCAAGAATTTCCTTCATGCTTTTCGAAACAAAAGAAATTATAAGATTTCATCAGATTGCGACCAAAGTAAAAATAGTATAATCATATGATAAATTCCCTGAATGCTGAATAGGACATAGGGAACCACAATTAGGTTGTGATTGAGGCGTAGTTG